GTCGGCCTGGTCCACTCTCCGAGCCTCGGCACGTCTGGTCCGCCCTCGTGGGGCCTACAGCCTATCCGGACCGCTCGCTGGGCCTTCAGAACAACCGGTCCGCCCTGGGTATCTTGGCCTACAGCACAAAGTAGGACCCGCCTAAACCATCTCCAGTCCAAACAACCATGTGCACAAAACATACATTCATATAACAGTCATAGAAAGCAAACCGAGCAAGCAGGTCACATAGCATATCATTACTCTAACCGGGTTACCAACCTAATCGGTCACTAGCATAGCATCACTCTGTATATCGGGAAACTAACCTTAGCAAGGCCTCCTAGCATGTACCATCCTAACTACCAGGATGCAGACACATCAAGCAATAACATAATAACCATATCCGAATCTCAATCCAATAAAGGGCCGGCCTTGGTGCCTTAGACCCTGTTGATATAGTGAGGATAACTCACCTCGAAACTGTCGGCTGAAAAGATAAGATCCCGCTGCTCCGAACTCTGACACGAACTCCTCCACTGAACATCAAAATATACAACTCAATAAATACCCTTAATTACCAAAATACCCCTGGAAGACAACTGGTCAACCTTGGACAAGTCAAAGTCAACCCATGACTGACCCTACTTGCCGAGTCAACCCGATGACTCGCCGAGTCCATATGCTCAGAACTTCCTTCAATCAGCGACCCAACTCACCGAGTCACCCCAAGACTCGTCGAGTCCAACAACTCTGAGTCCACTCGCACCCAACTCACCGAGTCATCCCTTGACTCACCGGTTCCTCGACTCAACCAGAAATATTGGGACTTCCTCGACAAGACTCGCCGAGTCCAAATGGACTCGTCGAGTCCAAGGCTATGTTCAACCTACTCGCCGAGTTGTTCTTCCAACTCGTCGAGTTCCAGGCCATCTTCAAGCAACTCGTCGAGTCACCCCATGTGACTCGACGAGTACCACCGGTCTGAATCCATACAGAAGCATCTCAGGCCATGCAATTGATCCAAAACATAGATCCAACCTCCTACAATCCATCCATCACGTAAAGTGGCAAACTTTACGTGAATCTAAAGAGATCTAGGCCTTATTCACCTTAGAACCAAGGTTTGGGAAATGGTGGCTTCACTAAGCACTCAAACACAGGAACTTTAATGCACTGTAGGCCTTCAATATTCCAGATCTGAGGTAGCAACCTCAAATTTAACCTCCAAACTCCAAAACATTCCAAGATATACTCCCCACAAACCCAAAATGAGAAACTAGGAAGATACAGCCCAAGAATGAAGGTTTTACCTCCAAAAGATTCCTCAATAGCAGCCAAACTCGAATCCACACAAAGCCCTTTGATCCAAGCCACTTCTCCTTCAAGATCTCTTCAAACAACACCTCTCCAAGCTCTAGTTTGCTCAATAATGGGACTCTCCACGAATTTAGGGTTTCTGGAACTCAAGGGGGGAATAAGGGAGGCTGTGGAGGGGTATTATGCTCTTTATATAGGGCTCAACCCCGAAAATTAGGGTTTTCTCCATACAGCACCTACTCGCCGAGTCCATCTTTGGACTCGCCGAGTAGGCCACTTGACACGCGACCATAGTCGCGACCTGAGTCGCCGAGTCTATCCATGGACTCGCCGAGTCACCCTCTAAAACTTACACTTTTAGCCCTTCAACTCTACTCTTGCGATTCCGGGATGTTACACTTGTTTATGCCTCTAGCTTGTTTGAGTCATCAGTAAGAATGACATGTGCACTTTATTTTGCAGCAATTAAACTAGGTAGTGATATTCTAACTCCAAGCTGCAGATAAACTTTATGTTGAGATTGAATATTTGATAATCAATTAATCATAAACAGAACACATAATGAATCATGATTTATCTAAAACAAACAAGCTAAAATTGTGTAAAATGTTTATTTTTAACTTTGTTGGTTAAACATTAGTGACTTTAACATTTTGTGACCTAACTTCCCTTGTATACAATTGTTTTTTGGTTGAAAATGAGTGACTTTAACAGTTGGTGACCAAATTGCCCCATTAATTCATAATTTCAAAATAAATAACCACAAAACATTGACATTATTTTATTTAGACCAAAACTATTTCATTCTAACATTCTAACATTCTAACATGATTTTCAAATGTATGCATACATGATTTTCAACTATTTCATTCTAACATTCGAACATGATTTTCAACTTTGTATATACACACAAGTAAATTAAATAGTACAAACATATTTTTAGAACCAAAAATTAATAAAAAATAAAAAATAAAATTATATTTGAAAATACCTTCCCATCAGCTGACACACAGTCACCGTTGTTCAACTTGACATACTTTTTACTCCACTATCATCATATATATATATATATATATATATATATATATATATATATATATATATATATATATATAAATTAAATATAAGTAAAAAAAGTGGAATAATAAATATATATACATAATTAAAAAAAAGAGTCAAACCTTATCCCAATAAATGAAACGAGGATCTTTGCTTTTGTAATCCACCACTATCATCTATAGCTAAGTCAAGAACAGCAGACTCCAACCTATTTCATCAATCAATACAAATTTTTAACTTTATATCATCATAATACCAAATTTTTTATAAAAATGATCACAAGTTCAAGTTTCCTGAGATCTAGTTATTTACAACCAATCCTACGGCTCAATGTATGAAAAATAACAGGTATAACAAACTCTTATTAGTATTAAAAATTTATATAAAAAGGAATAAATATGTTTTCTTTTTGCCGTTTAAAAGGATTAAAAAATTGTTGTTGATGCTTATCATACCAAAAGTCCAAAACTTAGTCAGTCTGATTTCGTTTTGCGGTTAAATAACTAACTTTCTGCACCAAATCTTATTATAATGCTCCTGCTCATACCACTAGATAGTCCCTCCTCATCTTGTTTCTTGGAAGCTTTTTTCCAGTCATTGCAAGATAATCTTCTTTAATCTCTTCTCTAGTAAGCCTGATCAATAATTTTGGTTTCTCATTTTCTGGATCCTCACTCATCTTGTCCTTAGAAACCGAGTTTTCACCTTCTGAAGGGACCTTAGAAGAGGAACCCTTGGATCCATGGTTACCAGCCGAATTAGGCTCCTTTATTTTGGCTGGTTTAGACTTAATATCAATCTCAGTGGATGTGGAGCTGCTGTTGTGCTTCATGAAACGAGGTTGCCTGGCGACAGGTGGTGTTCTCATGGGTGCACCCCTTGGGAGTCGTTGGTTTCTCTCCATACTAGGCCACTTCAATTTATCTGGCATGTTAAATTAATGTAACTTCTTGTTAAAGCTTCAGGTAGGCATTTTGTTCTGAAAACATGAAAAGTAGAATCAAGATACAAACAATACAATGGAAAATGTTACAAAACAAAGCTACTATTTCTGTAATTACAGTGCTATCTACAAAACCAATATATAGTTTTCACTTATCAGTTAAATAAAAATAAAAAATTATTGAAATTAAACACTAGTTTAAAGATATCAATCATATTATCATACCGATTGATAGTTGAGTGACTCCAAGTTGAACTTCAATGGAAGATCGCCCAACCCATACAACAGAACCACCCATTTTTAGATCACCATCAACACTAATTGTTTTCTTGAGAACCATTTTGTCAACAGATGCAGTAACCAGTAATAAGGGCCTTGTCATGTTATACAAAAAGAAAGAAACTTAATTATATTAACAAATTCATGAATGTTGTTAAAACTGTGTGATGGAGTGTAAGGGTAAAATGGTCATTTATTTTCATTCAAGCGGTTTATTCGGTCCAGAAAAAGTGAAAAGAAACAAACCTTACGAGTTATGAGTTATGTATGAAGCACTTTATCAGATTTTGAGGGTGGACCCCATCTTCAATGAATGGTTTTGCCTCCTTCAAGAACTCACCAGCAAGAAGAACTACTATTGTGGTTCCATCACCAGCAAGAAGAAGAAAGGTTAAGTTCATGTAGTATGTTTACAGTGAGATGTGAAATTAAAGACTTGAGCATAGAAACTTGTTTTAGGTTCTACAGTTTTCTTGGTTGGATGGGGGTCTGAGTTCACTTGTATTTTAACTTAGAGCCAACCACAGTGCATGTTTTAAAGAGAGGGGAGATAGAGACACACACTCTTGTACCATTTTAATAAGTTATGCTACCAAAACCTAAAGCAGTTGAAAAAAGGGCAATGAAGCAGTTGAAAAAAGGGCAACGCTGAGAAGGAAAAAATAAGTGAGGGCAAATTTGTAAAATGTTAAGTTCTTTCTTCATTAACCTGATATATATATATATATATATATATATATATATATATATATATATATATATATATATATATATATATATATATATATATATATAACCATCAGAATACCAGATCAGATTCAACGCAACCAAAGTGTCATAAATTCAAAAATAAATAGTAAGAGAAAATAATTAACATAAACTTACATTGCATTGTCATCTTCTTCAAAAATGTTCAAATGGATGGTGATGGTCTACCGGATTGTAGCTTTTCTGGGGAGACGTTGGCAGCTGCAAATTAACATCATGTGAAAAAACCCCACCTAGTTTTGGTAAAATTCCGAAAATGCCGTTATTCCCCTTGACTTAGGGTAATTTTCCCAGCAAATTTAATGACTTTTCTCTACCATTTTCCCTTTTATCTTATTAATTTAATTATATAGTCTTAAATTTAGGATGTTATAGTATTGTTGCATTCAGAAAGAGATACTCTCTTCTCAATAATAGCATCTAAAAGAGGTTATGATATTTTCAGAACAATTCCAGTATAAGAAGTTATCATGACAGAATCTTTTATGCCAAAATCAGATTTATTGCAGGATAAATGGAAAAGTATCATATTATCCCTAAATTTCTCAAATTATTATCTAATTATTATTCTTAAAATCAGAATAATTACTTAACAAAAGAAAATCCAAACACCCCTTTTTATATTTTCTCCAAAAGATAGAATGAATACCAACTACTTCCTACTTTGAACTTTGAAGTAGTGTTTGGATGTGCCAATGATATGCAAACCATAGTTGTTGTTGTTGTTGTTGTTGTTGTTGTTGGATGTGACTTGAGCATTGAGTTCTGCAATGTATATTTTCCCATCTCTCCCACCAGCATAAAAAAACATGTTCCCCTGGATCTGATGCAACTGCATCAATTATTGAAGGGAACACAATATTTCTCAACAATGTCTCTCTAGTTAGGCTCCATACCTGCAATTTAAACAAATTCATGAGGGCATTCACGTCTTTTCCGAATATTTATGCAATATGTACCTTGCAAGTACGATCTAGTGAAACAGATAAGATAATTGCATTGGATCCTCCATAACCCTTGACAATGTCAGTTACAGGTAAAGCATGACCAGTGAAACTGTATTCATACAGATGTCCTGCTCTCTATTGTCCTTCCTCATCAAATATCCTGGTCACAAGATTAAGAAAATGTATTATAGTAATAAACGCTAAAATTGCAACTCATGAATGTAAAAGGGTAAATAAGTAATTATACATACATCAGAAGTGACCAGACTCTAACAGTTCCATCCTCAGATCCAGAAATCAAAAGTGATTGATCATTAGAAAAGACCAAGCAAGTAACAGGCCTATAGCGACGATGCCATTTCTTTAATAATCTACTAGTTGCAACCTATAATAAATCAAAAGAAATAAAGAAAAGACTTGTAATAAGATCAGTTTTTATATGATTTTTGCACAGATAGTTAATTCGATTATGAAAAACAGTGAATTGTTGGAACCAAAGAGCAACAGTAAAACAGAGTAACAAAGTTTTCAATATAATTTGAAGAGAAATTAAAAATCGGCAAAAGAACCATGTATTCTTTATGACTAGAAAACTGAAATGAATTTACAACTCACCCCCCACAAGTAAATATGACCTGAAACTCCTCCTCCTACTACTATGTAAGTACCATCAGTATTACAAGCAAGAGGATTGATTGCTTCTGCTGGAAAACTCTTAACTTCTACCTGAGGCTGCAAACAGCAAAAACCTAAACATAAGTGTCAAATTTAATATTTTTCAGATGAATAAGTTATGAACTACATAAATAGTTATAGTTTAATGTAGTGAATGTTGGGTGATTGAACTCCTATCAGAATCTAGGCAACAGGAAATAATTAAGAATTAAGCTATAATATTTCCCTTGCAATTCCTCTGTATGTTGAAAACCTAATGGAACTAGTATATTTACATAGTTGCTTCTGTTACATTTGTATTTATAACTTCTAATTTAATTAGTTTATTTATTTTTTATTATTATTATTTTTTACAAAACTAATAAGATGGTCACCAAGTAGATACCTGGAACCATCTGCATCTACCCTTCCATATGCTCTAGTAATAGACTACAAGTTTATGACACAATACATCAGTTAAAAATGAAAATATGTTGCCATTTTGTATATTTTTCCTCGAATATTAACATCAAATGATCAAAAGAGAAGAATAGAAAAGATTGTTTGAAGCAAATTGAGAAACTATCAACTGTCAAGGGTATCTTGGATCTTGATAGCCAGTTTATGCACCTCTTCTATAGGTTCCATTTGGATTGAAAGATAAATTTTGATATGAAGTTGGCCTCACAGGGGTAGAAGCAGTGTTCCTCTTCACACCATTTGGGTTTCCTTTAGTTGTGTCAAAAGATAAAGCATGTTCCTCTTTAGTTGTTGTGATTTCACCCTTTGGAGGCGTTGGAGAGTAAGGGGTTGTAGGGGTCATAGGTGGGAAGTAAGAAGTAGGGTACTGGTAATGTTGGGCCCCATAGAGTTCACCATATTGACCTACTGTTGGCATAGGTGAGACATCAGGAGAATATGGTCCATATGGTGCATAACCATGACCATAAATACCCTGTAATGAAACCAAAATCAATATATAATGATAAACATGTTTTCAAGTAAAAAAATAGACAAAACTCACAGAAGCAAACAGGTTCTTACATGAGATAAATCAACTCCATCAGGATTCACATATCTTGAGTAGTCATCCCAATCATTTGTAGTTCTATCATAGCCTATACAACAGAAAAGGGAGATTGAGCAATTGTAGAAAAGGGAGAAAAGGGGTAAGAAGACTGTACGCCATTGTTAATGTTTTATGATAAGAGATAAGTGTAAGAGAACTTACTGTGACTGGATTAATGGAGTATACACCATGGTTGGCTCGATTATCTGATCTAGAACCAAAATCCCACCACCACCACCGTTTCCGACGAGACAATGAGAGAAAGCATCTGGATCGATCCCTTGTGAAGAAAGCTGCGTGATTACAGAGAGTCCTTGTTAACCGAATCCAAAGATTTCGTCAATGGCTCTATCGGGTTTGGTTAAAACCCTAGTTTGGGATGTGCTACATCTGGTTCATCAACTTGCCAAATCAACAGGGTTTTTTAATGAAAAATGAAAGGGGTTAATGGATTGAGATGAATTACCCGAAAACGATAGATGCTGAAGCGTTTGATGGTTTTGAATCATCGATGATTGTATCAAGTAGAAAAGTATCAGAATGGGATGCACAAGTAGAAAGTAGGGGAGAATGATGTCGTACCTGAGAAAACAAAGAAAAAAAAGGAGAAAAGGGGAGAAAGAACAGATCCTATCTGATATGCGTAGAGAGTAGAAGTGGGGATCGAGTATGGAGGAGGAAATCACAATTGAACCCCGTATAATTTTTATGGTTAGGGTTTTATAGAGGAGAATATGAGAAGTTTCAAAATCAAAATTAGAGGTAAGAATAGAGGAGAAAGAGGAACCTGTATCATGTATTTGACATTCTTGATGGAATCGTTGCTCTCGACCTAGAGAATGATGGTTTTTACGGTTAGGGTTTTATCATACGAACGTGAAGCATGAGCACCTGTGACATGAATGATTTGATCTCAATTGAAATAAATACAAACATTAGCATATCATGATGGGGGGTTTTGTTATCGTTGTAATGCGACAGGAAAGAATGGTTGGAGAAGATGGTCGAAGACACTTAGCGGTGCGAGATCGGAGGCTGGGTGGTGGTGCGATGCTGCTATGAAGACGAAGGCCCTAGGGATTTTTCTTGCTAATCGAAAGAGACAAGGGGGTTTCATTTTTGGGATCCAACAGGCGGGGTGAAATCCCGCCTTTAAAAACGCGTGTTTCATTAAAAAATTATAAAGCTACACACTTGGACGACACACATTTTATGAAAGGCGCCCTCCGCATTTCCTTGTTTTTTCTTTTTCTGACACTAATTTTAGAGCACGCACAAATGCGCGTCGACTATCCTTCAAATTTTGCAAAACTGACATTATTTTTTAGGGCACGCACAAATGCGCGTCCACTATCAGCGAGTGTCATTGTTTGCACGTCATTAAAGGGCTGTTTTCTTGTAGTGTAAGTATATGGAAAACATTATATATTTTGTGTTTATATTTTTTGAATCAAAGGTATTTACTAACCAAAGACTTTTACTTTAATCTTTGTATACAAAGTAAAGTGAGTCCAAACGTGGGGCAATTTAATCATCAACTAAATCTAACATATACTTTTTCAACTATAAGAAAATGTTTACTATTATATATATATATATATATATATATATATATATATATATATATCATTATTATATACAAAAACGTTTTTTTTCGCATCTCGATGTCTCTTTCTTCTTCTTATGCGTGTAGGATTGAAAATTTATTGAAAAAGAATATAAGTTTCCTACAGATGAGTCATCTGCTTTTCATCTTAAGAAGGACACGTTTCATTGAAGGATGACACTTGGTTTCTTTTCCTACATCTTTCCCAATATAGGCCGAGAGATCATCTCCTCCTCCTCTGCCTCTGTTTTTTTCTCTTACTATTCCTTTCTCTTCTCAAGAAGGCAATTTATACCTTCAAATTGATTGGAAAATGTCACTTCTTCTCTTCATATTGCTCTCTCTATTTCTTCTCTAGCGTGGGGACGATCCATCGCCTCCCACTACCCCTTATCACTACCTTTTATCTTCCTAATTCCGCCTTCTTGTCTTTCCAAGACCAACAACCTTTGTCCTCCCAAGAGCTTTTCATTCATGAGTCATCCGGTCCTTAATCTTCATGATTACACATTTCAAATACACTTGGTCTCTACTCTTCTTTTCTTTGTTCATGAGCCAAATGTTATACCTCGATGGACCACCACTCTTACCTTTCACTCATGAGACATCTGTATCCCACAACCTCTTCCATCTTCCATCCTCTTCTCCATATCGTTCTTCATACTATTGCATAATGTATTCTTGGTTTTTTCTATCTCTCTCTAGAAACTGAGAAGCCGCAACTTTAAATTAGGCTGTTATGTTCTTCTCATCGTCTTCAAGAATTGTCCGTCATTTTTCTTGGTTCAAGGTAGAATATTCATACCTTTTCTAAACTAAAATATAACCTCAATTTATTTGAAACCCATCTTCAATTAAATATCAATTTGGTGCTGAATAAGAATTCAGTTTATGGTATGTGCAGGTGTAACAGTGGCATCATAAATATCCGCATTTGATCTCCCTTTTTTTACGTGGCTGATTCTAAAGAATCATTACGTTCTCTCTCTTTTCTTGTTTATTGTGTCATGTTTAGGTCTGGTTCTACTCTTGGTGAATCACAGGTAATTGTCCTTTGTCTGATCATTCTCTACTTTTCTGATTTCTCCTCTATCTCCGATTGTATAAGTTTTCTCAATGTAATCTTTGTTTTATATGACTATATGACTGTATTAGGATTTCCAGAAAAACAAAACAACACACGATGCATCTTAAAAAAATAACCCATGATATGAGGTTTCCTTTTTGCTATCATATTTATATTCTTTCTTCATGAACTCTTCTTAATATCTTAAAGTCAGCAAACTAAAAAAATCTGAACGGAAATAATCCTCCATTTGTTTGGTGGTTTTTTTTCTTTTATTCCTTTTGTGATTAATGTTATTAATGTTCCCCCTTTTACATCTTCTTAAACAGAAGATGATGTTATATATACTTCCACTCTTATTCCTTCCAACCCCTAGGCTCCTTATTAGAAGTTGAACACACTAACATCAACTATTAAGGTACTGCCCTTTCCCTACCATTGTTCATTTCTCCCCTATTTTCTCCATTTTACTCTTGGTTTGTAGTGCTTATGTTTTTAACTAATATGAATGTCCTTTTCCTTTGAAACTTGTAGTCGTTTATCATTTGATCGAATTTTCTTTATCTTGTTCCTTGTTATTGCATAATTATATTTATAGTAAATTTTCGTATACTTGGAACTCCATAGACCATGACCGGAACTAGAACTGGAATTTGGATTGAAACTTTGAAGAAAAAATGAAATAAGATTATGTCAATTTCAGTGTTGGATGCAATAATTAAAACCTCTCTTGAGTTGGGGAGTTTGAAATTTATCATCACTTCCCCCACTCATATTATAAACTATGTTCTTTTTTACTATGTTATGTTCTGAATGCCACATTGTTTTTGTTTCTACTGAATCCAGTTCATAATATTCGACCCTTCAACATAACTTCTCACCCCTCTCTCCCCATACACACACACCAAAATATGCACGAACAAATATTCTTATATACTCATTGCGCTAATTTGTATGTTTTTGTTCGTTTGGGTTAGCTAATCATTATATCTAATGACACATTGAAACAGACATGTAATGATACATAGATAGTTGACAACACACTTGCTGGTTCGACATCTCTTTTGTGATGCAATAAGGCAGATGATAACTCCGCTGGTGAGAAAACATTTATATGCCTCAATAGTGAAGTTATAACATCAACCAAACCGATTATATTGCAACCTTTTTCTCAGTTATGCGGTGTGTGTGTTCAAGGAAAAATGGAGGTGTTGAATAAAGATCAGACTCAATTTTGTTATGGGATTCCAATAAGAAAGAGAGAAAATGTTGCAATATGTTGGCACAAAGATTAGAACCCGTGAATCGCTAAATTGCAGATCAAGCTAATGATAACCTTTAAATCGTAAAAATACCCAATAACAAATATGGAAGCAACTCATTTCCAAGGAAGACATGGATAACCCCGTACATTAATGTCAGGTCATCAGGACTGAGAAAATGAGAGTCATAGAGGAGATTGGATCTTTTGAGAAGTACCTTCCACATGTTAAATATCTTAATATGTTCCTTTCAAGACATTGTATTTTAAAAAATTGCCTATTTACAACATTGCACATTATGTTGAGTTAAACTTTTTAGTGTAGTTTATTTTTTTTACCCTTTATAGCAATGCACTTTTACTTTCTTATCCATAATAGCAACATACTTTTAGTGGCTTCTTCTCCCGATATCTACTATACCTAAAATATTACGCTAATCGTGGGCCGTGCTTAGCACGGCCTTTATACATTTCTAGTATATATATACCCTTATGAATAGTGAATGCTTTCTATTGGTTGATTTTTTTTTTAAATTTTTTAAGTGAAAAACTGTTTCCTAAAGTAAAGGATTTCGTCTTCTTATTTCTTATTGGTTCCACCGTTTGTGTTATACATGTCGTTAACTTGGATCATTTGATGTCAATGTGGTAAACGAATGATTGCTTCCTCTGGTTCATCATCTTCTGCACCTGCATGATTTATTTTCTACTTTTTCTTTCAGAATTTCCATTCAGTACCCACCCTAATCCAAATCCTGTCTTCTTATCTAGGCTTTTACATTTTTCCTATTTTAATTTTTGAGTCTGGGATAACATTTTGTGTTGAGAATGAAATTCTTCTGACTTGTGGGACCAAAATAAATGATATTTCGCCTAATTTCTACCCTGCTACTCCGATTCCTCCTTTCTTACCCCTTAATATTTGATTGTGAACCACAGCTAACCCAAATGCCTAGTAGCTGATTTGCTGACATCCGATAACGCTTTGGTGTGCGTCTTTTGTTCCATAATTTTGTTGTTGTCTCCTTCAGGGTTGTGTTCAAAATTAGTTAAACAATTTAACTTTTATGTACGATATTGTCAGGAACTGATGTAATATTAAATTGCTACTCTTCCTTCTCTGGAATGTCCTTAATTTATGATACTTATGCTCAAATTGTGAGTTAGGGTCAAACATAAGGGCAATGCTTTGAATTTCTATACATACAACACATATTAGATTGGTAACCATTTTTTTTATATGTGGTTTAGGTTAAACTAGTGATGCTCCCTGTGAGTAGACTCTAATTAGAAGTTGGATTCAGAAATGGAAGAACTAGAAGGTAATGTTTCTTTATCTTTCACGTTTCAGCTTCCTCCCTTATTCAGTGACAATTTTACCTTTATTATGATTCTAAGCAAAATATTAATAAGAACGTAAATAAGAACACAAGTATTGCGATGAAGATGTCGAATGTTTAATGCAAAATACCCCAGAAGAGCTCGATTATGAACTTCAATCTGTAGAGGTATAATTAGGGTTACAAGAATCAACGTGAATGAATAATCTGTTATATACGCATACATGCATGCATAT